ACAAACCGCCTTTAAACCAAATGGAGCGACTCCATTTGAACTATCAAGTACCTCTTGTGAAGGATCCAGCTTTACCCCCTCCCCTCCCCCGCCCCCGGTCTCGTGGACCTCAGTCCTCGACCATCTGCTCTGAAATCCAGGACTTCAGTTCATTGACTGGATCAATATTTGTGTTTGCCAATCTCTTCTCGCAGTGCTGTCTCCAATGTTAAGAATACGTAGTTTACAGAAACCCGGTGACTGTCACAGTGCTTGCTCTAGTGGAACCTGTCAGCATACATTCTCAGGGAACCTCTTATAAAAGATGGAAAAAGAGAATAAAAGCATTTTAATGTGTTGTGTATATATATGAAAGTATATGTCTTAATATTTGAAAAAAAATTATATGTTAACTAATTTATGACTAAATATTCTATGTGAGGCACAACTCTCCAAGCTGCAGTGCTTTCGGTTTATTGAACAGGAAACCAAACATATCTGAAGGACTTAAAAACGCTTGCCTCGCACCGCACCGGGGGCTGGCTGACGCAGTAGTACACGCAGTGTACACGCTGGATCTGCAGACATGTAATGAGCTGCAGAGACTGACACTGTACAAGGCAGGAAGTGTTTGAAGATGGCAGACATCAGAGAACACTGTGGAGGCTGCCATAAGCCCGCGGACAGGAAGCTGCTCTCACCGACCTCCTCTGCCGCCACATGAAGTCTGCACCTCACAGTCGGATGGATGTGTGTTGAATGAGTTCTTGGACGTCCAAAAGTACGTGACATAACTGGCTGAAACCCTTTCTAGAAACCAACGTGATTGCCTGATTCTGACGATTTTGCGATAAAATCTCCTGGATGACCGAGAACCTACACTGACGTGGTTGATTGATCCTTCATCTCTTCTGTTAAATCCGGGTCCTCCATAGTTATTGTCCTATGAGAGACCCCCAACAAAGACAGAATAAAGTAGGTAATACAAGTAGAGTACTGCAGGGTTACTTTAATGAAAACCCAACAGCTTTGAGATTTGTTCATTTACAGCAGAAAGACGGTTCCCTTTTTTCTTTTCTTTTTTTGCCCAGGGCCCAACAGTCCTGTAAAAATATACCCAGGAAATACTGTGAAGGGTTCACTGTAGCTGCACACTCACCTGAAAGCAGTGATGGCGCTGTTCAGGCAGCAGCCATGTTGGATTATTGTAGCCCAAAGAGGACAAAACAGTCATGACTACTTTTGTTGAAAGGATTGGTGGAACGATTAATAAAACCACACACAACGCACCTTTAATTTGTTTGAGAAAAAAAATTTACTCAAAATCTATTCAGTGGTCACTTCAACCTCCAACATGAATAATCTGGGCAACAGTATTATTTTCATCCCAAGAGCGGCGGTTATTTGTGGTAATCTAAGGTCTAATGTATTTACTTTTGAAGTATTATTACGACCGGTATACAGTTGGGGTTTTTTTTTTCAGATATATAAGTAACATTTAGAACTCGTGAAATTAAAGCCAAGGAAAGTTTGCTTCAGGCTGCAGGTCTTGACTGTTTCCTTTGTGTATTTTCTATTATTATTATTACTATTTCTTAGCTCCAGTTGTGCTTTATTTTTTCTAGACATCGTCACACAAGAACAGCCTTCTGTCATGCCTGCTCTTAAAAAAACAAATTGGAAACTCCGACTACAAATCCTTTCTCATATGCCCAAGTATGGTAGTTTTTTTAGTCTTTTTTTTAAGGTGGATCTGTACGTGTGCTTTAAACCTCATGTCATATGTCTTTCAGTGTTGTCTCTTCGTGTAGAAGCCTAATAGAGCTCCTTCTATTCCTCACGTGTGGTCAATGATTGTACATCCATGTGGACGCACTCATGAAGTTGATCCTCAGATTTGATACACTGATCGATTTATTTATGTAACTAAAATCACTGTTTTATAAACTTATTATTGAATCGACATTTCCTTTTGATTAAATTAGTTTTTGACAGCATTGTGACGCCTGTGTTTTTTCCCACTCCTCTTAGTCATAATGATGATCGTAGCTAAGGGTTAATGACGACTATCCGTGATTAATCATCTCTTAGCTCTCATTCTTAAATATAAAAAATATATTTTTTAAGGAAAAAAAAACAGCAGATAGATGTTTGTCTTTCACACCCATTTTTTGTGACTAATCCAAATGATGGAATTATTGATATGGAAAAATGTCTGAAAAATGTGTTCAGCTTCATAGAGTTAGTGGATTTTAGCCGATACTGGCGTCTTGGCAGCGCCTTGTCGAACGTGTCGAGAGTTGTTTTCAAAACATTGGTGAAGTCCTTGTCCTCAACGGTATGAATCAGTCATAATCCATCTGATAACTGTGTCAGTCAGCGTTTAGGCTGTAGACTCATTCACTGTCCTGTGCTCAGTGAGGCTGGTCTGAGGCAGGAAGTGACCTGAAGCTAAGCTAATACTTGCTAACTGGTGAGATGATATTTTATGTTTGAAACTTTTTTCTGCAGTGTGTGTAAATTACGACTATTGATTGTCGTATTGTATTGATGACAAGTGGATGGATATAAATTTCCAACTCAAAGTTTCAGGTCTGGTTTCACTTCTGGTAGGCTGCGTTAACTGAAAAAGTCAGTGGTCATACCATGAGACTACACACTCCACTACAGTAGGTGGCGGTATGTGCCATTTATTGTAGGTGTTCAAACAGAACGTGGGAAGAACTTCTTCCACAGACACAAACAGTGTTTCTGTAGAAAAAGGAAGTCTTTCCAGTTAATATATTATTAATAGTCGTTGTTTGGTTGTTTAATATACCATTTCGGTTGGTAACAGTATTTTTATGTTTTTTTTCAAATAAAGGATCATTGTATTTGGTCACAGTTTGTCTGGAGCTCTATTTGTTTTATAAAAATTGTGATCAAATCTGACTGTGAGCTGAGTGCATCATTACACCCCTAGTGGTTATATATTTTGATTTTTGCAGTTGCCATTACAACTGTTGTCAAATGTTATTCTGTGATTCCAGTTGATTGAAGCGTGGAGCTTCAACTTTACTTTCATTATCACAGTTACAAGACACACACAGTTTCACCGGTGTAGAGATTTCCTTCAGACAAACAGGACGTTTTTGTCTCCATCAAAATGCAACATATTTCTGACCTTTTCTTACAGAACAGAAAGTCTGTCTACGCTCTTTTCTCTTTCATCTTGCATGAACGAGGCCCGGTGTGGAAGCCATTTTCTTCTGAACCTCGTGGCCTATAAAGAAGAAAACCTTCATATTCACAGCTTAAAAGGGGAATCAGAAATGTCACACACAGACGCAACTGCTGTTCATTAAGTTTTCATAAATGTCACGGTAAACGAAACGACCAATAGCAATTAGGTATTTTCTGAAAGGCCACCTATGAACAACAAAATGTGAGATACAGAAGAAAAGAGAACATGATGAGAGGGAAACAATTCAATATAGAGTGTAGATATGTTCACGGATACTCTGACGCTGTGAGGCTGTCAAACTTCTGTGGTTTCCCTGAGCAGAAAATATCTTTACTTTATTTTATTTAGTTTGTTTGTTTTTTTCCCTTTTTATTTTATTTATTTAGTTTGTTTGTTTTTTTCCCTCAAAACTATAGTAGGTAAGATACAACTATAAAAAACCCTGGAATAATTCCAACTTATTAATGCAGTAATGTTCAGATGGTCAAAAAGGAAGTTCTCTACCCTCTATTTATTTTCTGTAATTTAATACAGAAATGTAATTTTATAAAAAGATTTTATGTTAAAACTTAGCTTTTTTTTGTGATTTTAAAAAGTTGCTTCTGCTATCAACAGCTGAAGTGCCAGTAATGATCTGATCAATCAGAGTGTCACCAGACCAATGAAAATATCCTCTGCCGTCTCTTAGCAACAGAGAGGTCTCCTCCATCTGTTGATTGGCATTAACAAGTGCTGCTCACACCAAGGCTTAGTGAACCGTTGTTAACCACGAGCTCTTCACTGGCAGCCTCTTCTACTGTGAAGGAAAAAAAATGGCAGCCACGATTTGTGTGAAAGAAAAAAAGCCAAATGTAGTTTTTAAGATATTCACATCAACACTTGACAAAAACAACAAACGAATCACTGAATCAACAATGGAGTGCATTTAGAGTATACAGATTTATAAGATTATATAAAAGGTGATGTATTTAATGCAGGCAGGGGGTGCTACTCAGTGACATCACACTCACCTGTGTCACTGTCATTAGTCTCACCTGCTGCCCTGAGTGTAAATGTCTCTCTTTCACTCAGTCCTCCTTGTTCCTTTGTTCCTGTGTTCCTGTTTTGAGTCCCTGATTCTGGAGTGCTTTGCCGCCTGCTGCTGTTCCAGTGACTTTAAGTTGAACTTTTCAAAAAGTCTTTTGCACCTGAAAAGAGTCTGCTTCTTGTTGTGTATGTAGGTTATATTGGTGCACATCATTGCATTCATTATGGTTTGCAGTGTATACTGTATATATAGTAAATAGAGGGCACAAAATAGATAATAGGTAATAGGC